TAAGAGACAGGGTGTGGGGGGTGTGTGGGGGTGTGGGACGCTGCTGTAGAGTAAGCCAATGTGGTTTTGGGAGTGGGGACTTGTGCCGGGGTGCACCCATGCCAAGCAGGACTGCCTTCGCGTAGGCTGCGCTGCCCCAACTGGAGGTGTTGCTGAAGCAGCAAATTATCTTGTTTATGAGCTCTCCTCCAGGCTGGGGCCCTGTGTGCGGGACTGGTGCTGCTGTGGTTAATGATTACTCTTCCTGAATAGTTCCAACATTGCCTCCTACAGCGTTGGGGCCTCTCTACAGCAGGTACCTGAGAAACCTGGTGGCAGAGCGTTCTGCAGGACACCCAGCCCAGCTCTGGGAGCGAGTGTGGCCCAAGTCAAATTGACTGTGGGCAAGTAGGAGCTGTTTTAGTTTCAGGCTTAGGCTGGGCTGTTGGCGTGTTGCCTCTGGGCACTGCGTGTGGGTGTCTCCTGGTCATTTCTGCTGCTTTTTACTCTTTGGGTTTACTCCCTGGTGAAGTTGTTTTCTGCTCCTGCTCTACATGCAGCTTTGGTCCAAATTGAACTCAAATTTTTTAGAGATTTCCTCTTGACAGCAGAAAACCAGGAAAACTTAGTTCGATCTCCCAAGCTTATATTTTAAAACCAAGGCCTATCTCTCCTGTCCCATTTTTTTCTGTCTTTAGCCAAGTACTCCTTGTCCTTCAGTGCAGTTGGAGCACTGGTCAGTGGCCTGCGTGCAGTCTCTGGTTCTGGAATGGTTTCTGAGCTTCCAGGAGCCCTGGGCTCCTCCACCCTCATGGTCTTCGTGCCTGGCAGCGTGGCTCATCCCTGCAGTACAGACACCACATTGTGAGCAGTCACTGCCCACTCCACTGTCTGGCTCGGATCAGGGAGCATCTAGGCCAGCAGCAGAGGTGGGAAATTCAGGGAACAGCAACCGGAATGCTCTGATCTTCAGGGCCATTTTATTCCAACCCCTTTTCTCTGAAATATAACCATTCCTCTCCCCATGTGTCATCTGGAGAAGGTCAGAGTGGCTCTGGCCAGGGCTGGGGCAGGGAATGGGGAAAGTCAGGGCAGCTGATTGCCTTCTCTGCTATTTCTATCCTGTCTTCTGGGAGCGTGGGGACGGGAGCCAGCCTGTGCCTGAGGTACATCCTGGACTCAGGCAGAGTAGCACACAGCTCCGTCATGCTTATTTGCAGTGCAGAGGGGGCTCTGTCACTGTTACCCAAGTTTGATCCAAGCATTTCTGTAAAGCAGCAGTGAAATACTCACTGTCTTGCCCCAGTGCTTCTTTTGAAAACCCTTACTACCCTGCACAGCTCCAGCGTGTGTGTCTGGGCAGAGCAGGAGAGCACAGTAACAGGCCGGCTCCTGCTCCCGCTGGTTGCAGGCTCCAGTCTCTGGGCAGTTGCAGGATGGGCTTCACAAGACCCTTCTGGCAGCAGCATCGCACTGCATGCAGGAGATGCAGAGAGTGCAAGAAACCCATGCATCTGGGCAGCAGCGTGGTTGCTTGATAGCTGCTTGGGGCCATGTGCTGTTTCTCAGCCTGCGGAGTATTTTGTATATGAGGGAAACTGCAAATGTGGCACATGGGGAAAATGTGCTGCATTCTTCTTGATGGTTACTATTACACAGCATCAGAAGAGATTTTCTGAACCACCCAGCTCCTGCTGCCCATCACAAGCAGCCATGCCCTTTTAATTCTGTTCATAACCCTATTAGCTCCATTTTAAATGTAAGAAGTAAAGGGATCACAACACCCTTTTAGGCAGCTGCTCCTGAACCTTGGTCTGCATTGGCTAGATACTTCCTTACTTTTGGCATAAACTTATTCCTGGCAACTTACCCTCCTTGTTTGTCTGTTGTGTGCTGGCATCAGCCATCTCTGCGCCTTGGTGTTTTCTTTATTTTCTCGGAGTACTTACAAAGAGCTTTTACACTTTTTCTCAATGTTCATTTTTGCTGGTGTGAACAGGCTGAATCTCATCTCCACCTGTTGAGGTGACTTGCAACCAGGTCTTCTAAGCAGAACGCTGGATAATGATTAGGACGTGTAAGGCTTCAGGGGACAATCCCTTCCCTCAGCTTTTACTCTCAACAGCATATCTGGAGTTACTGTGTCTGAGTTTAGGTGTCCTGCTACAGATGGAGAAACTGCAGCAAGTCCAGTAGAGGCTACTAAAGTGCTCCTGGGGCTTGAGGAAATGGCATATGAGAAAAAGCTGAGAGAGCTGGTTTGTTTAGCCTGGATGAGAGAAGGGGGGAGTCCAGTTGCTGCCTTCTGCTACCTGCTGTTTTTTACAGGGAGGATGGAGCCAGGCAGTCCCTCTTTCCAGTGGAAACACCTTGTTCTATTCCTGGTTTATTTAAGCAGCATCCTAAATGATGACTGTAGCCAATCCAAAATTTTCTTTCTCAGATATTCACAGGTGATGAGCTTCTCTTAGAGCAAAAGTTGGCCTTGAACATCATTCTGGTGTTCTTGCTTTCCAGTTTTCTGAATCACCCATAAAAATCTGCTTTTCCCTTGATGAACTCACATGTTGGAGTCATCTTCATTTCTCAGTCTCACAGTTACTGTGCAAAGGTCATTAATGAGAATACTATATAAAACCAGTTTCAAAGCAGAACCTTTAAGGACCTCCCACTTGTCCAGCATTTTCCTTCTACTACTACTATCTTTCCTTTAGCTGCTTCCATCTTCTCACTTTTGGTATTAAACTCTGATTTTATCTAGTTTAAATAGCTTTTTTGCCAGGATGTCCTCCCAGAAATGTTGTCCTGATCACTGATGTTTTTGTTGTCTAGAGCATGGGTACACAAACTAGTTGGCAGGCACTAACAAGTCACCTTTACAACATGTGGATGCTTTCCTCCTTGGCAACGCTGACCCTCTCGAGGGACACACTGGCAGCTCCTCCTGGCTGCTGGGCATCAGGGTTTGATGATGACAAATATGTGCCAGGGCAAAAAGCCAGAGATACTCTCAGCCTCCCAGCCTCCTGCCTCCATCCCATCTATTTGGCTATCTGCCTTTGTGGTTTCTCTCAGTGTGGTAAGAGATTCAGCAAGGCACATATGGAACGGTGAGGGGATATGCCACAGCTCCTTTAAACCAGGCTGAAGCCTGGTGTGGGAGGTGGCCTTTGCCAGAGCAAGCATTGGGCTCAATGGTTTCTTGTGCTGCTTTCTAATAATTCTCCTTCGCTGTTGTCTAGATGAAGATCTCTTTCAATGAGACAAGTCTACAGACTATGTTTGAGTACCCATCAGAGAGCTCACTGGCAGAAGAGGAGGAAGAAGAGGAAGGACATGCTTCTGAAACAGAGGAGGACAAATCTGGCACCTTTCACATTCCACGCCCAAATAGCACTTTGCACCCCAGTACACCTAACTCAGGTGAGCCAGGCACTGTGGGGTTACTGGTGGTGCTTGACACTGTGTTTCCTATAGACCCTTACAGGGCTCCACACAGGTGGAAATGCTCGTGGAGGTGACTTCTGCCAGCTGATGGCAGAATTGGGGCTTAGCGGGGATGGGACTCGAACCAGAACAGGGAAATGCAGATGGGCAGCTGTCCCTGCCAGCATCTTGATCCCACTTCCTTTTGGGATGGTGAGAAATATTTATGTCAGCTTTGCCCTTCCAGCAGATTTATCCAGCTATACCCCAAAGCACTCCGTGAAGTTCAGCGAGTGGCAGGAGCAGAAGTATGAGGAGATGCCTGCCACAGAGGGACCCCTCCTGAAGGAAGCCGATTCCCATGGGAACGAGGTCATGGTGAGACTTTAAATAAGCAAGTCTTGGCTTTGCCTGCTGTGCTGTTATCCCGTGCTTGGGTTGGTCGGGATGGGACAGAACGTGCTTTTCAATGAACACCCGTGTTTGTGTTTGCTGCCCAGGGAGGCATCCCACTGCTCACAAAGGGACCAGCACACGGTCCCACTGCAGGCCTACCTCTCCCTGTATGTGTAGAGGAGACTAAAGGCAGCTGGCACGCTTTGCACTCCAGGGCATGTTTGGAGGGGCGGATTAAATGCATTTGTTAGCCCTGGGCAAGGTGCCACTGCAGCCTTCACTGTTCAGAGGTGTGGGTACTCATTTGCTTTGGGTTTGATGACACCTCCCTGTCAACTCTGCTTTCTCCACAGCTCACCCCAGCAGAGAAAGGCGGACTATCCGATTTCAGCAGCGAGCCTGCTCTTTATTTTTGATCGCTTCATCTTCTAGCCTGCAGCAGCGGCTGCTGGACAAAACATGTCAGTGCACCTTCCGAAAGCCCACGCAAGCACCGTGGAAATAAGCTTCTGGGTCCCTCCCTCACCACAGTTTTCATTGGATCCTGATGCCAAGGGTGGACTAGATGCTATCGAGCATCTTCGGAGAATATTTGCACTGGATTCTCGGACCTAACTACTACTTTTAAGGCGTATGATTTGTTCTACCTGTGGCCTTATATATTCCTTGTTCAAGATCAGCTGCCGATTAGGCAAGCATTTTAAGAACAGGTCTGTAATGGATGTAGAGTCTCTCAGTGCTTATCTGAGTCCACTACTCCAGGCACTGCATGGGGTCTGGACAGCTTTTGTAACACTTCTCCTATCAGAGGCCCCACTGAGGAATGGTTCTGGAGTTGGAGCCCTGGGTGTACCTGGGCAGTACAGAAGTGGTTGTGATTTGTCAGCTAGCTTGGGTGTCAGTTTGTAAAACCACTGAAGATTTGTGGTTTGTTCTTGGCCTGTCTCTGGGTCTAGTTTCACTCACCATCATGGAATTAATGTGCCAGTTATGTCCTTGTGAAGGCAGCTGAATGCACTGTGTGAGGGATGGGAAGGGGAATAAATGCCTATAGCTTTAGGTGTCATTTTTGCACTAACCTGTAACCAACTGTCCAGACTGGCTTGAACCTCTTGAAGATTCCCAAATATTGGCCATAGCTTTGAGCTGTCCCTACCCAACTCTGGTGTCCAGTTTCTAGTAACTGCTGACTGTGCTTGTTTGCCAGTTCCTTTTGTTGCTTTGTTGCAGCATCTAATGGGGCCAGGCCCAAGATTTATCCATCTTGGTTGGCAGGGAGGTTTCCTATTAGCCGTGCTTGCTCTGCTCCTCTAACGCAAAGCACAGGAGGGCAATCTCGCTCCTTTCTTCTGCGGAACTTGAACAAGGAATATGTTTTTTTTTTCTAGGATTTTTATAGTTCTGTTGTAATTGTTTAATGCAGCCAATATGCAGAGGAATCTGCTAGATTTCCATATTTCTACTACTGTAAACTCAGGGTCAAAATTGCACTCTGGAAAAGATGGAACACTGCTGCTAATGTGATTTGTACTTCTGGGATTAAAAGAGACGCAGTTGGAATAGATATGGCCTCTTTGGGCTTTATGAAATGAGTGGTACCCGTGTGTGGCTCTTATCAAAAGGAACAGGCTGGTATCTTTTATTAAATTTGGTACTTTTATTGGTTTGTCTACTACAGATAGACGATGACTGTCTAGTCAAGCTGACACTGGTCTATGAACTGAATATGCTCTGCATGGCTTGCACTTGCTTTGGTGTATGTTGTAGCAGCAGGAAGAAGGTTGTTCTGCTGAAAAATATGATCAGGGCTAAATGCTAGGATACACTTCTAGCTGTTCTTCTCTTCTTGCCCTGGGTGCCTAAATATTTCTGGAAAGATAGTGCAAAAAAATGAGACTCAGCAACTTGTTAAGATGTTGGCTGGAGGGGCCACAAAGGAAGACGTTCCACCTCCTTGTAATTCTAAGGCTTGTCCTTTCCAAGCTAACTCGAGATCCACTCCCTGCGTGACCTCCCAGGAGCAGTGTGTGGCTGGCAGCACATCTGCCTCTTACACCACACAAATACAGTGGAAAGAGCAGTGAATCCCATGTGCTGAGGCTTCTCCTGATGAAACACTTCAGGACATGATGCTGAAACTGGGGTACAATGAGGAAAAACACAGGACTGCTAGTAACTGCCAAATTTAAGGGATGAGTAAATTATTGGATAGGTGGAGTTAAAACAGTGAGCAGTGCCCATGGCCAGTAGCTGTGCACACAGCCAAAAGGGATTGGGGACCATGGCTGAAGAAAAGGTTATGAACAGCTTTTCTAGCAGAAAAGGTCCCAGTGAGCATCTTGCCCTATGGAAAAGCTCACCACAGTTTAAGGCAGCTCTATCTCTAGATTTGCAACTAAACAAAACTGCAGGTGGTGAAGCAAAAGCTGCTTGCAATTTAAGTTAGGGACAAGGTGTCTGAACTAGTCCTGACAATTCTGCTGTGGATCAGTGAGGAGTGCTAAAGCCAGCAACGTCCTGCAGCTCGTTCCACTGACTTCAGCCAACTGACATGCTGCTTTGGTACTGTGCGTGCTGTTCCGAGTGAGTTAGCTCTGTGCCTACAACTCCTCTGGTTAGGACAGGCTCAGTGGAGGTGTGTGAGTGCAGAGTGTGCTTCTCAAGAGGAGCACGTGGTGCCCTGGTGTGCTGCTGACTTCTCTGCTCCTTCTAGTTTGCCTGCTCTACCTTGTAGCTGTGATCTACGCCTCGCTGAGTGCTGCCTTCTCTCTTCCTGGCTTTGTACTCTAATCCCAGTCTGTACCACATGAACTCTTAGCTGGTTCATGGCACAGCAAGGTGAGTGCTGTTTTGAAGGCAGAAGCATTAGCTGATAAGTCATCTTCTAGGATATGCTTCCGTATCACTGTGCTCAAAATAAAGTATTTTTTTATAGGATACCTACCCTCATCTCTAGCATTTAGGAATTAACTTTAAGAAATCTCTAGCTAATACCAAAGTGTATATGAAAGGAAAATTTACTTCTGCAAAACAGACTTTTATTAAATGCATGTCATCCTTGTACCAGAATAGCAGCTGTCCCAGACCAACAGGACTTTCCAGGTTGAAGAACAGGTTCAGGAATGCTTTTGTCCACGTGTTTGTTTTTCTTTTGAAGTGCTTTGTGGGTCACTGGCTTCACCAGCATTTTCAGTTTTTCCCTTTAGGACATCTAGCAATGTTTGAGAACTCTCCAGAATCTGGGAAAGAAAGAAATAAAAATACTTATTTTTACATAAACTCTTATGAGTTCCCTTTGAATTCTGCTGACCTACCTTGCAGCAAGAGGGATTCTCCAGCCCTTACAGTTATCTAATTCTTGGTGACGTATTATCCTATCTCTTTGTGGGAATTTCTCTGGTTCGTGCCCATATTCTGAATACAAAACACCTTAAGCAATTTATCTGCCTTGGAACATGAGGCGGACAACTTCCTGTGAGGTGAACTTTAGTTGTGGCTTTGTGTTTGGTTTGGGGTTTTTTTAAGGGAGATGTTGATACCTGGGCTTTTCAGATCAGTATTAAATTGTGCTCAGATGACCCAGTTTCAACTGTCTTCCCCTGCATGCTTTTAAGTTTCTTGCTTAAGGTCATTGTGGAGTTGAGTTAGTCTTTAAGTCAGACTAAATATTTCCTTTTATTCATTTTCTCCTATTTTTAGTTTATGTTGTAGATAATCTAACATTGCCACTTGTTGTTGTCTAGGAAACAAGGCTGCAGCAGGTTTAGGAGATTGTGTTGCCTGTCCCTCTTGCCACGTTAAAGTTTTAACACAGTGCACTGTTGTAACAAAGTGGGGTAGTAGGGTTGTAGTCCCAAAGCTCATTTATGTTCCTGTGAACCTGTGGAAATCACTAAGTGGTCAGAGAAGAGATGAAGGTAAGTGCCCCACAGGGTGAGATGCTGGTACATCGTGTTGTTGGGATCCTGAAGTCTGGTTTGTGAAGGAAGGTGGAGGCCTGTGACTGTCAGGGGCTGGGAAAAGACAAGGAGTGCAATTACAGACAAGAGATGTACATCACAGGAAAGGAACTTTTGTTACTTGTTTCTGCTTGCAGGACAGCTGCATTCCTCTCCTAACCACCTCTGCTTTTTACCTACTGTGACTGTCTTCTAATTTCAATAAACATTAATTCATTTGTAGGCTGGGGGGTTGTGACTTGTATCTCAGGAAAGGTTTCCTTTAAAAGGTGCTGTTTGTTCATATAGCTTTACAACATAGTTTCTAAGCTGTTAAATCTTTATGCAAATTCTCCCCTTCACCCCAAACCATCAGTTCTTGAAGAAGGCTGAGAAAACAGCTCCAGCTCATCTGAAAAATAGTAATTCCTGGTTAAGTACTGACTTGGGGAGATGAAGAAGATCTGATACACTCTAGAGGGCAGCTATCAGGGGAAGGAGTGCTCTTGGACTAAACAGCTCCTTGTTACCGACAGAGGGAAGATCACTGCTTATCAGGAAGTGGGCTCGAAAGACTTCTATTTTTTAAAAAGCTGATTGGTGTGAAATTCAAAAGTGATTTCAGCTGTTACCCCATACACTGAATGAAGCAGTCCCTGCCTGGCAGAGTTCAGGAGAGGGCTGAGCCCATTCCAGTAACTGGGGTAACAGTACCAGCCCTTGCACCATTGCCCTCCTTCCCCGATCCAACATTTCTACCTTTTTTATTGGTATTATCATGATATAATTCCATTAAAGATGGAAGAAATTACATGAAAAGTTGGGCAAAAAGAGTGTCTAGTGGGCCGACAGCTCTGTCATCAGTTTGTTGTTACCTGTGTGAATTCACCGTCTTCTGGTCAACGTCTTGCCTCTGGCTTCCACCCCCACCCCCCCAGCGGCGGTTTGCAAGATGGTCTTTCCCTAGGGGTCCATTCCAAGGAACATTTTGATGTATTTTACAATATGCTTTAACTTCAGCTCCAGTTCTGACCCCCGGCTCTGAGGCCCCAGTACGCTTCCCCCTGTCCTCTCCGCGGTGCTTGGGCCGGGCTCCGCGGGACTCGCTCCCGGCGGGGCGATGCGGGGGTCCCCGCACCACCAGGCTCTGGGGCAAACCCCTCCCC